TTGACCGCACCCGCACCAGACTGAGCCTGCGACTGCAGCTCCTCCGCTGCATCAGCTGCGGCTGCCTGCCTGAGCAACTGTTCCCGATTGGCCAGCAGCTTCTTGAGCAGCTTGGGATGCTTCAGCGGCGACTGTTTGCCCGTTGGCGACGGCCTCTGTGTGCGATTCAGCTGCACCTCCAGATCATCTGTGCTGAACAGCACCGCGCCCGGCGGCTCAATGTGCCGCGCGATCGCATAGAGCTTGAGCACCGTCGATTCGTTGTAGCGCAGCCGGCAGGTGTCCGCCCGTGCCTGCAAGATGATGTCGCTGTCCGGCACAAACTCGTAGGCATCYCGYGCATTGGGTCTGTTGCGGCACTGCAGCTGCCAGTGCAGGAAGAAGTCACCACCAAAGCTCTGCGAAATGGACACGCCGCCCAGCAGGCTACTGGCGCCGCCCGCGTCCGTCATCATGGCATCGAGCAGCGGCTGCCCGGTGCGCCCGTCCAGAATTGTGGTCTGCGAGTAGTAGTAGACGGGGAAGCCCGGACCCGTATTGTATTTGACCATGAAGTCGGTCACATTGTCCCGATCAAAGTGGCCCGGCACAATGGCGCTGACGCACTCGCTGGCCGGGAACGTGTAGTTCCAGAGTTGGCTATAGTTTTTGCCGTCGAAGGCAAAGACGCTGCTGTTGAAGGCGGCGACGACCACGTCGGTGATGCCATCGCCATTGAGGTCGGTCAGCACGGCGGGCACCATCAAGCCAGACCTGGACTGCTGATACAGTGGAGTGAAGTGCTTCTCGCTCGTGTGCGCCATCAGYGTGAGCAGCCGGAGACTGTAGATGCCACCAGCCGTGTTCTGGCCSCCGGTMAGCATGAGCAGYAGCTCRGTGCCGTCGGCGCGGGTCAGCAGCTGGATGGGCACGAACATCTCCTCGCGGTGCGGCGTGGGTATGCTGCGCAGCACCTTGCCCGTCTTGCCGGAGATGAGCTTGATGTGGCCCGCCTTRGACTCCTCGCGCTCCTCGAGATGCGCAGCTATCAGCTCCGGCACCTCGTCGCCGTCCAGGTCGCGCAGCACGTTGATCGTGTAGAGATCCAT